ACAATCTCCTCCTGTACCAGTCAGATCTGATTTGACGGTACGCACACAAAATAATGAAATAAAATAAGTTTTAAAAAAAGTAATAAAAAGTGGTATTTTCTAATTAAATTATAAACTAACTTGAGTTTAGAAATGAAATTCTGACAACTGATAAACTCTTTGCAGGCTGGGTAGAGTGGAGATTGTATATCAGTCTTAATTTCTGAAAATAAGTTTTAGTTGGTTGTTGCTATTGTTGTTGTTAAGTGATGCTGAGTCATAGATGACTCACAGCAACCCTATGAACAAAAGACCTGAACATTTGTATAACTTTCATCCTTTCTCCAGGTTCATAGGGTTTCTAGAGGCAAGCTTTTTGGATGCCACTCCTCCAGCAAACACTGTCCACCATGGGTAACCATTATCACATTTGACACATCAGTATCAGTGTTCAGCATCACAGCAATCATGAGATTCCTTTATACAGCAAATGGACAGATCAGTGCTTTACCACTTAGAATGTTTGACCAAAAACAATTAAAACCAGGCCTGAGGGCTGCAGATTAAAATCACCCACCTTTGGCTTGATAGCATCACTTTCTGTCCACTAGCCCAATTTTTGAAAATCAATTTTAGCTGAACTCAACACTTTAAAAAAAAAATCCCAAAATTTTTAATTTTAATACATAAAATGTGGAAATTCTACCATAACAAAAATCATACATTTTTTAAATTAAAAGAAAAAAACATGGAAATAAATAATCAAAAGTATGACAAAGCAATTTTTCTGTGTATACAGAGCTCTTAAAAACATATAAAGCCTATTCTTTTTTTTTTTTTTCCCCCTCCCCAGCCTATTCTCAACCATTTTTAATAGTAATTCAATTACTATAATGACCAAGTTTGGTAAACTTTTCTAGGTAAGAAAATTCCACCCAGAGATTCTTAAAATAAAATCTGTTGCTATCTAGAAATCCTTATCTATATTCCTTTATAATTAATGTTTCAGCCTAGCTAAAAACTTGTTTGGAAGAAACTGCACACTCATCCCTCACCTCCACTAGAAAAGTGAAAAGGAAAAAAAAATGTATTTGGTCATTACATATCATACACATACAGTGTAGTTACATGCTACTAATAATCCATAACCGTGAAAAATGACTAGCGGTCATTTCTATCAACTCACCGAAATATAGGGGTATGGCCAGGCTTTGGTTTGCTCCAAGTAAAGGGTGAAGGAACTGACAGAAACTGGTCACCAGATGAATCTTTCTTTAAAGGATACTGGGATCCAAGGCCATCATCTATTGAAGTCTCCCGAGATGGTGATAAATTTCCTTGGTCATCTGAACAAAGGTCTAATTTTCCTGGTAGTATGGCAGCTTGATCTTCAGAAGTCTTCCTTGTTTTCAGAGGAATATCAGTCTCTACACAGTACTGAAATGGAACAAGCGTAGGGCCAAGGCCTGATCCACCCTGGACAGAAGAAACATTGAGCCAGGTATCTTCTGTTACACTTCCTCTGGGGGAGTGACCAGGAGAAGGAACTGGAGAGTGATGGGGTGAAAGTGAGCCAGCGTAACAAACCTCAGCACTGGAGTGCCGCCGCTTCCCACAGGGGGAAGTGGGCCTTGAGGAGGGTCCTGAGGCTGGCCTAGGGCTCAGCCAATTCTCATCAGTGATACTAGATCTAGGAGAGTGGCAAGGAGACTGCCTGGGTGACAAGGAGTGTCCAACTCCATACTGTTGTTGCCAGGACTCTTCTCCAGGGCAGCCTCCTGGAGAACCCCCAGGAGAAGTTAAAGGAGATCCAAGAGTAAATCGAGCAGCAGCTTCGTTCAACTCTGAGTCTACATCATCGTAAATGTGTGAAAGAGATTCACAAGAAGATGCATCTGAAAACCAGCTTCTAGAAGAGATGCTGCTGGCAGGACTGGGACTAAGGGAAGACTCTCGGTAGGATGGCTCAAGAGGAAGATAGAGATGATCTCTAGATGGCCTTTCCAAAAATTCCCTTTCTGGGTCATTTATGTGCAGGTCATCTTCAGGAGCATCTATTTCTTGATGACAGTTGGGAGAGATGGATGTAATTTGAATACTTGGACACTCAAAGGGCTTGGGACCACCTAATGGGCTGTATTTAGACTCAGGGATCTCACAAATTCCTTCATAGTTTTTGTGACTTTGGAGCTGAAACGATGGTGACAAAACAGAAGAGTGAGACGGTAATCCATGATGTGGTAAGCAATGTGGCGAGTTTAAAGTAGATGGAGGTGGATCTACATTAAAGATGTAAATGGATGCACAATCATCTGGCTCAAGATCTATGGGGAGAAAGCAAAAACAAACAAAACCAAAAAAATAAAATCAACAGAGCGAGACATTAGAAACTTCAAATGTATAAACTCGATGAGAAAACAATATTACTAAATCAATCCTGAGAAAAAAGTGAGAGACACAAAATGCATACCATGCACTCTAGTAAGAGATTTCTTTTAAAAAGTGGTTTTCCACAATGTATCTGATTATCCTGCAGAAAGATGTGATTATAGTTATTTTCTCTTATTTGTCCATTTTGGGAAATATTAATCTTACATTATTTTATATAATAAAGTATCATGGCTAGAATTCTAAAAAATGTTCATAGAATTAGACAATATTATTGTAAGCCAGGAACCTTGCAGTGATGTGGTTGCGGTACTCACTTGCTAACACAAGATCAGTGGTTCAAACCTACCCATGGGAGAGTCATGTGGCAGTCAATTTGGTCTTTCATATATTCTAACATTTATTTAGCCTTGGAAACACAGTAGGAAAGTTCTACAGTGACCTAGAAGGTCACTATGAGCCAGATTTGTCCCACAGGCAATGGGTTTTGGTTTATAATGACATAAATTCACTTCATCTGGGGCCCTCCTAGAACAAAGGATAAAATGTAATCTTTAAAGGATGATTTTAGTCACATATACACATTAAATTTTTTAATGAAAATTATTACTACAAACTCAGTCATAAGAGATGCAGAATGCAGTCTATCTTGGCAATTAACTGGGATTTTTAGTCATATCATTAATAACTTCTTTAGACCTTAAGCGTCCCTGCAGTATAATTCAGAACTTACTTTTTCTTTAAGGGAAATTTTATGATTAACCATCACAACTCTTTTCCTCAGCAGTCATATTATTAGGAACTCTTTATCTTTTGTTTTAACAGTCCAAGTTACAAAAGCCACAAGATCTCATATGACCTTTTACCTCAACTAGAAAACAATACCATTAAGGATTTTAACTGATCATTAAAGCAATCCATATAAGGAAAGAACTAAAATTCACCAAATGCTGGAGTATTTAACACTAAAGGAGCCCTGCCAGGTTACCCACCAAGAGTGACTACAGCAATAATTGTGAGACTTCAATTTTCGGAAGAACTAATTACAGAGACAGAAATAAAAAGTACTAAATTATGGTACAAACACCTTTACTTTTCCAAGGAGACCATCACTGGTAGATCAAAAACTATATTGTTCATACATACAACAGAGAAAAGCACACATTTTTAGCTTCTCAGATCACACGGCTTCATTTCATTAGCACACTTCTTCAGTTGTTGTTATGACTCAGTATAATTAACAATCACCATAAATATTAGACTTCGAAAGTTTAAAAATATTCTGTGCTTAGTAAATACATTCATTTCAGGGTCCCTAAGCATCAAAACAAAACTCCCTAAATTTAAACCCTCGTTCTACTATATCCTAGTTGTATAGACTTGGCCAAGTTATGTAACCTGCTTGAACCTCAGCTTTCTGTTCCATAAAAATGGTGAAGAGCATGTATCACCTATTACACAGGATCATTTTCTTTTTAATTTTTATTTGATATTGTTTTGCTTATAGAATTTATATACATTGTATACATCACATTATCCTTCATTCACATACTCAGGACAGTTTTCGAACAAAGCAAACTAACACAGTGACTACTGTGTAGCAAGAACTGTCATACATTTCAGTAGCCTTAGTTTTTCCCTTTAAAAGCTAAGATGGGGAGCACAAATGTTCTTTAACAAGGGAATGGATCATTCATACAATGAATGGTTACTGAAAAACAAAATGGAAGGACTACTGGCAATGCAACAGCTTATATATTTCAAAGGCATTATGCCTAGGTGGGGGAAAAAAATCATATAAAACTACAGTTAGAGAGAACAGATCAGTGGTTGCCGAAACTGAGGGGTAAGAATAAATCAGTTGTTGTAGAGTTAATTCTATCTCATTGTAACTCCATGGGTGTCAAGCAGAACTGTCCTCCATAGTTTTCGTGGCTAATTTTTCATAAGTATATCTGTTCTCTGAGCAGGCTAGAACTTCCAATCTTTGAATTAACAGTTTATTATTTAACAATTTGTGCTACCCAGCATCTCCAAAACAGACAAGTTTACCATATCCCAAACTAGGAGAAATTCTATAAATAAAAGACTGGTATTTATATATTTAAAAAAGGTCATAAATGACACAGAAGGGGATAATCTTGGCAAATGTTTATAAACAACTCCAACAGAATCCATTTCTTAAAAATGACAACATATTTTAAATCACATAACCAAAACTAATCAATGCCAGAGGATGCTACCTAACATTTAAGAATGTCTCCTTGTTGAGAGAAGAATTCATTCATATCCTTTATCACTTGGATTTTAAGAAGGAAAAAAAATCATGAGAAAGGACAGTGGCCAGCCCCAGAGCATGCTGGGCAGAGCTGGTGGAGAGATAGGCGCTCTTAGCCCTGAATCTCTTCTCAGACTTGTTTGGGGCCTTCTATTTAAGACGATACTCTTAAATTTTTTTTTTAATTTTATTATTGGTGGGGGTGTGTGTGTGTACACCATCAAATCGGATCTGACTTATACAGGATGAGATTGCCCCTCCTTCTACAGTAGAGAATCTAGTGGATCTGAACTGTGTTCATCCTGGAAAGGGTTAAACCGGGTGGCTCCTTGGAGGCAAGGATTCTGTGGCTTTGTCTAACAAACTTTGGACATGTTGTAAGGAGAGACCAGTCCTTGGAGGACATCAGGCTTGGGAGGGTGGAGGGACAGTGCAGGAGGGGAAGGCCCTCTATGAAGTAGATTTGATTCAGTGACTGGGATAATCGGGATGGATGTGTCAGAGACAGTACGATTGGCACAGAACAGAGTAGAGTGTAGGGTTGTTGTACAGAGGGTTGCTATGAGTCGCAAGCGACTCAACGGCACATAACAACCACCACCAACTCTGGGATTGCAGCGCAGCTTCTTGCCACTAGGCCCCCAGAGCTTCCTAAGCTCTTTAATTCTTAACTAAGTCTTTTAAACATAGGAAGTCATTCGAGTGGCCACAGCTAGAATTCTTCTACTCCTACATCATTCTGTACACTTATCATAACAGCCTCTTATTATTACCTGAAAAACAGTATATTCAATAAAACAAGTTAAATATCCTATTATTGTTCAAGAAAACAAACTAATATCCCTGTTGTTATTTTAACAGAAGTAGATAACCATGCCTTACTTTTCCATCAGATACAAACATCTAACACAATATACTCCAGATAAAAAGTTCTTAGTTCAAGATTACATCCTTACAATAATTTCAATTGCATCTACTAAAAATCTAGACAGAGTACAACCCAGATGAGAAAAATTATTTTGTAAAAAGTTTATGATTTCATATCTACCAATGAAACAGGTAGAGAAACACACAGTATATGCATACAAGGAAAATATTATTTATCCATTTAAAGGAATCCTGTATTTAACATGCCAAAATATAGATGAACCATGAAACACTGTTATGTTGACCACCTAAATCTAAATAGAAGATACTGAGCAATGTAGCAGGGAAAAAAAGTGGAACAAAACTAAAAATTAAAAAAAGTACAAGGTGTGCTAGGCTATTACCCTTAGTAACCCTCTGAGCCTGGAAATAACATCTCTCTTTGTCTCAACTTTAAGCAAAACAAAAGACATGCTTATAAAGTGAATTTTACTACCAGAGAGTTGCTCATTCCTTAGAATAATCAATCAATCAATCATAGAAGACCAAAAGGCAGTATTTACTCAGGAGAAAGCTCAGAAGGCCAAAGGAATGGGACAAAAGGATGAATAAAAGTGAGTATCAGAAGAAATACTTCAGCCTCCACTATGGATTGAGGCTCAACGTCAAGAAGACAAAGATTCTCACCACTGGGCCAATTGGCAGCATCAGGATAGATGGTGAAGAGATTGAGGTCTGCTGTTAGGAACCTCTCCAAAGTACTGATGAGCAATGGTGTCTCTCTGGAGACTAAGGTGC